GTAGGGTGGATATATAGGTTATTTTAATGTTATAATATTATTATTAATTAAAAATGATAAAATCTGATTTTTGATTAAATCAAGTTAAAACCTGATTTTCATAAACTTAAAACTAAACAGCTGGTTTTTGGTAAATATCACTGAATTAGGTTACCTCCAATGTTTGGCACAAAAAACTCCTCTTTCCAAATGGGCCAAACGCATTAATTGGATCACCAACTAAAAGGTCAAGCTAGTCAAAAAAATGAGCTAATATCCAAGTCCCAACTTACCAATAAATGGGCCAACTAACTCAAATGTCACCATCCATTTGGGTTCACTAACTTAGGCCAACCTAAATCCAAATTGGTTGTTTTCAGGTTGAGCGAAGTCTATGATGTCGATAAATTATCCAACAACTATTTTAGATCATCGCACAAATTTATTGGGTATCAAAACCCAACAACTTTAACATAGACTTCTTTTATTTGGCCATGAATAAGAGATATTTGAATATTTTGACTTCTTTTTATGTCACATATTAAGTCTATATATATTTCTCCAGAGTATGGAACAGAAGGGCTAGTATCCACAAGGTGTGATGTTTATAGCTATGGGATAATGTTGATGGAAACTTTTACAAGAAAAAGGCCAAGTGACGAAATGTTTGCTGGAGATTTCAGCCTCAGGAGATGGGTGAAGGATTCATTACCAGATGTATTACATCGGGTAGTAGACCCTAACATACTAAATCTAGAAAAAAAACATTCGATTGAAAAGCTACATTGCATAGCATCCATCATGGAGTTGGCTTTGAATTGCTCAGCAGAGTCTAGCTGGGAGAGATTGAACATGACAGATGTCTTAGCTGCTTTGACCAAAATCAAGCTTCAGGTTCTTACATCTCGTGAAGTGTCCCGATAAAGTTCACACTTGAATTTGTTTACTACAATACATTTTCAGGTTGATGTAACAATGATTGTGTATAGAGCTAAAGAAAAAACAAAACCAAGGGGGCAAAACCCACCTCTACATCACCCTCCCCAAACCCAACACAGGTAGATTCAGTTAAGCACAAGATGTCAATCCCATAGTGCACAAGACTAGTTCATACAATTTTCATTTTTTTTTTATTTATGCTGATATCTTGGCTACATATTGCTTTCACTATCGTAAGGCTATATGTAAATATGTACATTGTTTTGATATCTTGCCAAATAGCTTTTAGCTCTTGTTTATTTTACATGGCATTAGAGTAATACAGCTTACACTAAACTATCATGCTTCCACTTTTATAGTATCGGTTCCTCATCCAATTTTTCTTTTCCCATTCCCACGCAACTTCTCAATCAAACTTGATGAGACAAACTACCTTACATAGCCTGCTCAGTTTAAACCTATCCTCTAGAGTCACAACTGACGTCGGACAGAATAATGATTATTCTGCACGCTGGAACCAA